TCTCTCTCTCTCTCTCTCTCTCTTTCTCTATCTCTTTTTTCACGTTTTAACGCCAAAAAAATTCTGAAAAAATGCCACGGAACCGCGGGGGCATTGGCAAGAGATTCTTTTTCGCCAAGGTATGTTTTTTATTTTCGTATTTATTTTTTTTTTAGATTTTTTTTTTATTTTTTTTAAACTGGGGGAGTGTCTGGCCGCTTAACGCGACCGGACATGGGAACGACCGACCCCCCCTACCTGTCTCGCCCGGGGTCGTCTGCAGTCGGGAACCGGACGACCCCCTTGGTGTCCGTGAAAAGGGGCCGGACGGCCCCCTTGTTGCTCGTGAAATGGGCCCATACGGTCCCCTTGCTGCTCGCCAGCGTGTGCCGGACACCTCCTGCTTGTTCCGGCCCCGCCGACCGGACGATATTTTTTTAATATTTATTAATTATATAATTATTTAAAAATATATAATTATATAATTAATAAAAAACAATAATGAATATTAATAAAATTAACATAATTAAAAATAATAAAATAATGAATATATATATATATATATTTATCCAAATTATAATTTAAAAAAATTATATAATTAATAAAAAATAAATAATAAATATTAATATAATTTATATAATTGAAAATAATAAAATAATGAATATATATATATATATATATTTATCCAAATTATAATTAAGTAAATAATGAATAAATATTACAAAATTAGTATATTCTTATAATTAATTTAAAATATATATAATATTTATAGTTGAAAAATATTCATATTAATAAATAATATTTTTATTAGCTATAATGATAAAACATTTATATATAAATATTAAAAAATTATTTATAAATTAAAAAAATTTGTATATCAATATACAAATGTTTATCAAAATAGTTAAATATTTAATGTACATAAATTGTAGTTTAATAGTTATTAATAAATGTTACTTATAAATAAAAAATTATATATTATATATGTATAATCATTTCGATGTTTACTAATTAATTGTTTAAATTAAATTAATGATTTAGACTATTCGTGGACGTGAGCTACATGACACGAAAAAAGAAGAGGTTGCCGAGTATTATGGTTCTGGACCCCGACACACGAAAAGTCAATGTGTAGATGCTTCCGCTCATCGGGGGAGGGATGAGATGATCCGTGAGGCTCGTATGAGACAGACGGGTCACGTTGACCATGATGGCAGTTCGAGACCCCCTCTCCAGTCTGTTATTATGACTAATCGATAGCCCATAGGGTGCAGTTGTAGATGAGTCTGATGACTCCGACTTTTCGGATGAGCAGGACGTTATGCCTCCCCCCCTCACGACAGCCTCTTACACGACCTACGGGTTCTGCACGTCCACGAGAGTCTGGTGGGCGTTTTGCGAGTACCGGGTCCTTAGGTAAACCATCTACGTACTTATTGTTGTTTACAATGAAATATTTTTATTCAATAAAAATGATAGATAGACTCAAATGTAGCATTTATATATGTTCTATTCGAATGCAAGTACTAGCAAACGATCTAAGACTCAAACAAATGATAGCTGGATCGTTAAAAGCACAATGCCCGGTGGACCCATTGATGGGAGTGTCATCCCTAGCTTCCTAGGGCACGTAGCCTCCTGCATGTGTACTGGAGAGTTAGAGGCATGCTTAGATGCCAGAACAGACAGAAAGCGCTTGACAATATGAGGATTTGGCTCTTGGATATGCCTCTTGCTGCAAAAGATCTAATAGGCCGGACCGGACTGTCATATCTGGTGGACTCCATGCACTCTCACTTGGACACTCCACTTATTTCTGCTTTCATGGAGCGCTGACAGTCGGATACTAACTCATTTCACATGCCTATTGGTGAAATGCTATCATGATGCACGACGTTCGGGTCATTCTGGGTTTCCCGTGGAGGGAGACGTGGTCACTGAGGATCGAGACACAGAAGCCTACCAGGTCTACTGCATGGATTTACTTTCGGTGACGAAGGGTGACCTCTTGGCGTCTTTCTGGCGGTGTGGTTCAACGACAGAAGCTTTTATTGTCGAAGCATGTCCGGTTTCCTGAGGATAAGGCTACTGCCTGGATGTAGGTGCTGCGAGGTACCACCTTGTTCGTTGACAAGAGTGGTAGCAGGGTGAATCTTAAACTCCTCTGTGAGTTGATGGACGACGACTTGGGTAGTATTGGGGCTTACTCATGGAGTTCGGTTGCACTAGCTTACATGCATAAATAATTAGGTATTGCCAGCAAAGGGGACTCACATGGACTGTCTGTATGCTAAACTTTTCTGCAGAGCTGGATATACGAGTACTTCCCCTGCTTCCGACAGCAGGAGCGTCTGTCCATCGGTACTGGTGCACGATCTCGATCGTGGTACGTAGGGGTGACGCAGAGAACAGTCGAGCATCTCGCCTCTATCCGTTTGGGCCTTGACAGGCTCACCGCCTCCGAAGTACATGAAGTTATTTTATTTAAATTTAGTTACAAGTTATTTAAAATAATAAAATTATTTTAATGAATATTATAATGCAATTGTCAATAGGTGCAATAGTCCGTACAAGGTCTACCCAGATTTGGTAGAGCGCAGGACCCTTTATAATGGTTTCATTCGGTACCGTGATATTGTGGAGCCGTACCTCGATCCTTTCCTTCACTGCGCTTCGCTTCGTTTGTTTGGTCGAGTCAACTTTGTCGACCCTCACTCACTTCATTAATGAAAGACGCATTCAGGTCAACCTTACCCTTTTAACATTTCAACTAACGAGTGAAAGGAAGATACATTAGAGCCAGAGGCAGAGCAAGGCGATTCGGATGAGACCCCCAATCCTCACTTGGTACCAAGGGTAGAACTTCATGATTGATTCGGTGCAACCG